CGGAGAAAATCATGTAGAAACGAAGACAAAAGGGCTGGGCAGGAGGCGTACAGTGAGCGTGCGTGACAAATGTGCTTGCACTTTCAACTGCTTTCAGCGGCAGAGGAATCCACAACTAGTGAGCGAGTGATTCAGTCCTATAATCTAGCACAGACTAGAATATGGAATTCAGAAGCAGTCCGTTCATACTACTATGGGTTAATGTACTTACAGAAGGTAGCCCATTCATGTCTGCTAGTCGAGACTGGAAATGAAACAAGTACATCATCCGCCTCCATGCACCGAATAAGCAGAGGCCCGAGCAAGTGCAAGTAATCAGGGAATCCCTGTATTTCCGAAGTAATCAACAAACGAGTGGTTGTTTGCGATGAATTTGTAGAATTATCGCTGTGACTCTTTATGAAGTAGACCGTCCCTTTTAGTAATGTCTCTGATATGAATCTGTCAGTTATTGCTACTCAAAGTAAACGCTACAGTTTATAGCTGCGTAACATGAGAAAGATGCGCGTGGATCCGAGCGAGAGGCATTCCAACACGACGCGAATTTCGTGGGTAAACGTAACCGCACGAAGGAGAAGCCAACTCACATTTGTGAATGATACGCTCAAAATTGCTTGATCCATCTTCCAACAGGCCCTACCAAGTGGGACAGAATGACTATGTGAGGAAACCTTGCCTCCGGCACTACACCAGACGCATACCATCGAAGAACAGTGAGCAGTCTTCTCGGACAATAAGAAACAAATTCAATACGTTCAAGGTCCACGGAGGTGCAGGCTTGGTCATCTCATAGCCAAGATCAGTAAGGAAAGTGCTAGCTGGTTGGAAATGACCCAATACTGGCGGCTGTATTCGCATCCATCTAACTAAACACACACCTTGTCTTGTTCACAACCGAGACTCAGCCAGGGCAGCATTCATGAGTAACGGCGCCAGATTTGCGAGGAAACTTTGCGATAAACCCTTTTAACACAGCTCCAAGGAGCAAGTCCCTGTCTGCCTGTTTACGATCGACTGATAATAGTCGCAAACAAACAGGAGAATTCAATAAGAGATTCGAGAGGCACTGAAATAAATAATTGATAAATAAATAGGCAGCGAGGGAAAGCTTTCGGTAAACTATCCGACACACCTTGTACTGGCCGCAAAGACGTGTCGACGCGTATAGGGGTCATGCTACGTGAAGCTGAAGGACCGTGTGAGCAGAGCAGCTTCCTTGATATACGGTTGGCAAGGGTAAAAACGTGTACAGTCGAATCACACAAAAATTGTGGCTTGAAAGAGATTGTATGGGTTCTTGGTCAGGCGGTGTTTGTAGAATGCTGGATCTTTTAGAGAAGAGAGTAAACTGGGAAAGCGTATTTGTGCGTCATTAGATCTAGCGTTTCGTTGTACAATTAACAGTTGCTCCTGTAGTCGGTATACAAGTTCATTTTAACTACGATCACTCAGACAGGTCTCCGATAAGTCTCCGATAGAGGGAGATCGTTGTCATAATGTTAGCGAGAAACGGAGAAATAAACTAATCAGACAGTGGTATCGTACTGCCATGGCAAATCATACTGCCAGACACGCATTTGATAAAGCAACGCCGTCTGCAGCAGGAAGCCTCATCAGGAACTCATTATGAAGGCACTACATCAACCGCGCTCATCCTTGTCCTGCTGCGCCTAAACACTGATAAGATCACGATTTTTTCTGCTCTAACCGCATTTTCAACATCCTTCACAGGGAACGGCGTACACACAAGAGCAAACCAGCACAACTGTTCCGCCCGGAACAGTCCTCAAGGAGAATGTTTGCTATGCAACCAGAAACCTATTTCCTAATCTACTCGTTCCAAGCCGCGTATACGAACCACAGTCACACCGCGAAGACATCAATTTTCAAAGATCTGAGTACGCCACAGATACCCTGCCAGCAGAGACTATATTTTACCACAACAGACGTCGCAAATAGTGCAACTTACTGGAAGCTGTTGTGTGCGAAGTTCACCGGCAACACTCCTATCTAACCTCCGGCCTCCGTCTCTCGACTTCCCCTGTCTAGACTTAAGCAACCTGGCAGTATCCCAGCCCTCGTGCGTCCTTCAGGTGGCGTGTTAGCTAGACACCGAAAGGGTGTTACAGCTGAATGGTTAGGAGCTGAGCTCGTAGGACGCAAAACTCCCGTAACGTACCTAGTAGCCAGAAGAACGACGCCAAAGTATTGAGACATGATTTCCCTTAGTACGTCGGATTTGAGCAATAGCGAAAACGTACGAATCATTTTCTCAGGTACAAAGAGCGTTCGAAGCACGGACAACTAGTGCAGTCTCACAAACTCGGTAAACTCCCACCTAGGGAACTGTTTCCCAGATCTCTGGGAATGTCCCATTTCTTCATCTTCTCCAATAATTCTGTCCAAAAAATTCAGTGATTTCGAATCCTAGCAAGCGTCGTCAAGCGTCAAAGTGGAGTCAAACAATAGGAGCTATGCGTAATACCAATAAATAATAATCGTTCAGCTGTATTACCCATTCAGTGCCTAGCTACCACGCCACCTGAAAGAAGAACGAGGAATGAGATGCTACCACGTTGTCCAAGCCTAGACAGTGGAAGTTGAGACACCGGGTTTGGACTCGGACCATGAGTCTTCCGGTCAGTAAGTTCAGACATTAACCACTGAGCCATCTCGGGCTCGAGTAATGCGTGTGTTAACGGTTCTCGTATGGTTCATTTAGAATCCCCTCATTTTCTGAACAAATATAAGAATCATTCGTAACCCCCGGTCTAACTGGAGTTCAGCATCAAGCGCAAGAAAGTCCTTTTAAGGAGAGCACGGCTTACGTGCCCACTGCGCACAGTGGGCTAAGTCATGCTGATATCACGAAGGGAAATGTATCATGTCCCGCTTTTTTCCAGAACAACTTCAATCCTGTGCTTGTTTCAGACTACGCGTACTAGTCCCTGTCAAAAGTGCACCTCGCTTCCACGCTGTAGATTGTTCAACTATATGGCAAACCTGCACCAACAACACATTGCGAACCCACAGAACACTGGTAACATCCGTGTTCTGTCTCACTGTGATCCAAACATGATTTATTCCCGATCCATCGTTCTGAAAAGGGGAAAAACAGACGGAAAGCAAAGATTCTGAGTTGGCTTATCACAGATACTTCATTTTTCTATTTGCCATACGTGAGCAGTCAGGCAGCAAGTAAACCACTGACATCGAACCGCGCACAGATCTTTATCCTTTGGGGCATACAGCGATTCAAGAGGACCGATCACCAGAACCCATTCAACCGTACTAGTCTTCATATGCCTGCGTAGTGCCACCGGTTTCTCAGATCGCTGTACAACGCGAAAGTAACAGTTTTTGGCAACTGGCGACCCTAACTGTGCAATAATGAGGTACCTACCAAAAGCGCGAGTCAATCACACTGCTGATTGGGAGCTCGCGGCCGAAAGACTCAAACTACTAGCCGGAAGATTGCGGGTTCGAAACAGCCCGGAGTTTTACGAGACGCGCACTACTGGCGATTCCAAATAAGGAAGAAACAGCTGTGCAGTGTTTCTCAGCACTTCAGCATAGATTGAAAGGACGAAATCTCCACTGAAAATTCCCGAATCTTCTCACACTACCAAAGGCTTACCCGGGTTTATAATACGGAGTATAAGCCCGATAAAATCCAGCCATACCTATTCTTCAATAGCTTCCTAGCATATTGGTGATGACGCATCCGCAAGAGACTCAGCATTCGGCGATTCGATTAATATCTCCGAAAAAGTATATGGACCATCGAGAATAGTATCTGATTTATATCGAGCGTAAAAAGTTTCACATCGAACAGTACGTGTCACTGCGGTACGAAATTCAGTACCATTCAAAGACACTCATCGGCTTCCTTAAGCTTGTTTACTTTGAACGTAGTCGATAGAGATACCGCTACAGAAGGAAACTTACAGATCATCACCATCACTAACGGCATCACACACCATGACATCAATACTGATGCCACGGTGCCGTACAACCAGGATTTACTTGAAAGCCTTATTGTGAGGGGAAAAATAAAAAGCACCCCACCGGTTTTCACGAATAACCCGCCCGATATTCCTTGGCTTTTGTAAAGCGGGATGACCATGCGCAAGAGGATTACGCCGAGCATGATCACCATTCACTTCCACGGTAGCGCAACGGACGGTCGTAAGTACTCAAGACAGAATGCTACCAGTTAAAAGTCTTCATGCAAACTACTCCATCTTCTGATTCCTTCGCGAATGGTTAGCTGCCCCTCTGAACTCACCATCTAATATGAAGATCTGTAGGGATTAAACAGAACCATCATCTTATCATCTTGTTGTCTGATGGCCTCACGCACTCCCTCTGCATTACTGGTTCATAAACGTCGCAAGTGTTTCAAAGTCTCCGTTACCTCCACTCAGCTTAACCCGACCATCAAAGCAATGGGATGTTGTTGCGAGAAGCCACGAGTGAAGTTTGGGCGTCCAAAGAGGACAAGACAAGAATACTGACTTCTGAGGTCATGATCCATTTGTCACACGTTAGTGCTGGTTCTTTCCAGTCGAACACTGTTAAGGATAGAGTACGAATGATGCGATATCGCAGCGTCAAAGATGATAACAGAATATAACAATGTAGTAAATTCTGCACCTGTATTGGGTAGCAAAATCCACGCAATGCGTGGAAACGTCACCAGGTCAAATCATGACCAAACCAACACTCTTAGTGAAACCCGCAGAATTATGCGGGTTACGCGACACCGGCAAGTGTTTACATGACCCACAAGACTACTGTATGGCCTGGAGATAGCCTCACACCGGAATGAACAACCTGGGTAGACAAACATGACAGATCGCTTTACGGAATCCCTAGTTGGTGGTAGTCTAAATTGGGATCAGAGCGAGAAAACAGCGTAAATTAGCATGTGGGAGAAACAAGCGGGTCACTTGACGCATCAACAAAAAGTACATAAACCCACATCACAACCAGATTACCTTTGCTTTTGCCTTAATGTATGTGTGACTCAGGAGTTCGCGTGCCGACAACCGTTGTCCCGGGTCTTTCATCAAACAAGCGCGGGTAAATTTGCGAAACTTTTGACCGTAATTGATGTACTGATTGCTCACCGTGGCGACGGTGTCGATGTCAGGTGGGTCGTTCTGCAGCGTTAGCATGAGAACCTGTCCAATGAATATACGAATGAGACGGTCACACTCATGCTCAAAAAGTACACCGGAAAAATAAAATATCACTTTCGTGTCTAAGTATCACCTATCGGTGTCTTTAGGGAGATTTCATTGGTCAGTAGTCTTTGCTGCAGTATGTGACACGGGAACTAATTCGGACTTCTGTTATGAGGGCTTTCGATCAGCACGAAAAGTTTGTATAAGTTTCGACTGATGCTTTGAGAAGCACTGATAAATACGTACATGCAAGGAAAATACAAAACTGCATGAAGGTGAACACGTGACGTCGTGCACACCGGACGGATAAACTATCGGACGAGAGTCCTTAGTACCTGGACGATGTCGGTTTAGGATGTCCAATAAGGAATTCACACTAGAGGACTCCGAATGCATCGACGGATTTCACGTGTTCTACAGTTAGACGAGAACGTAGTGAATCCCCATACAGTGGAAGTTTATGAGGAGGTGAAAGGCAAGTGTATGCGATACCCAGCGGGCAGAGCACACACAACCTTGGCAAATGATAATACGATAGTTCTAGTCCTACCTTCTCTTTTCGCTTGTGCAACTGTTCAAGATTAGCCCAAGCACCATCTCTTTTGTCCTTTTCGGTTATAAGTACGTGCGCACAAACGCTAAAAGAACAATCATTTCGAATGGCCTATGGGGGCTTCTCTCGAAATACATAGTGATGAACAACTACCAGTGAACATATGAACATGAATAGGGAGGGTTCGGCGGTGTAGACAATGAATTAAACCCTACGCTTGAGACAGTGATGCACCAGTTTCTGCCACTACATATATTTAACTGAGGCAAGAAGGCGCCCGAACACCGCATTTTGTCCACGTGTCTTCAAATGGTTTCTGGCAGACTGAAACTCCTCCACTGGTTGGAGAGGATTTCTAAACAAAGAATTTCTGATTTACATTCAGCGGTTTATGGAAAATAACAGTCACAGAAAAGATCAAAGGATGATCCACGTCCGGGTAGTGGAAAAACGAACGAACCCAGTCTAGAAAGTCGCCCACGTCAGTACGGAAAACTTTACGTAACCCAGTTGGGTAACGTGTGGAAAGAAAAGCAAAGAAATGTGTTGTTTCGAGCCTTACCCATGAATTGTGATACCGTATGTAGAAAAATAGACATTAAGCAAATACAAGCATAAAATTGAGTAGACTTCAGTCCAAACTACAAGATGGATTGGTTCAATTCTACATAAAGACTTAAAATGTTACGACGAAATGCCACAAAAGCAGTACATCCGAAGAAACGGGTAATTCTATATGACTTGACAACTATTAATCCTTGTCTACCTAACCTGTGAGAATGACTCAAGGGTTACAGGCGAGGGAGGAGTCTAAATGGTGGAATAAACAATACTTCGTCAAAGCCATCTTGACTTTCCTTACTCTATCCCCATTCAGCACCAGATACCGGTAAGAGATACAAAAATAAGTACAATTAACCACTGCCACAGTCGTCCACAGAGCCTTCCATATCCCCCTATGGTGACATATAAACGTGGGTAATTCACTGCTCATTGATTCATTTCCCATAAGGCTTTCCAGCTTCGTTAGTCGGAGAGGAACCCCCAGAAGTGTATATGGTGATAGATGCACTAGTTTTGTTGCAATGGAAACGGAGCTAAGAGTGAACTGCAACAAAGTAAAGCACGATATGCTGCGATGATAATTCGATTGGCAGTTTAACCCCCTCATGCTAGACGTGTAGTAATGAATGACTCGATCAACCCGTGTAATTTCAGGCAAGCAAGTGCCAACCTCGGAGAGTAATTTGTTACCTACCGATTTGCTTCTGAGACCATTCTATTGATTTCAAAGACTCGTCCTCCTGATAGAGAACGAGAGAGGGATAGGCAGACCACAAGGCAAGAATTGTTAGGCCCCGAAATTCATCAATAAGTTGCGTTATCGACGTGTACAAAAATACGCATATAAAACATACCAACATCAAATTATGCAGATTGGCGCAAATCCAAAAAAGCCTTAAAATGTTATAAAAACTCTGTACTACCCGTAGAAAACGTACTGCATGTGGCAACGTAGGCGTGTGTAAAAATGCTTACAAAAATTGGTTACGTACGTCACTCACCTTCATTGGTGCGTATTTTGCATAGGGAGCTTGCCCTGTGGCCATCTCAATGGTAGTAATGCCGAGAGACCAAATATCTGCCTTCTGATTGTAGCCCCGTGCCTGGTGAGGAAAACAGCAAAAACATGGTCTATCGAAGAACCGGAAACTTCGTTGCAGACAGTCTCACGACAAGCCCCCGTGAAACGGGTAAGTGTGGTGAGTACGGTAATACAAACAGCCCCATAACCTTTAATTATTCACATCTGGTCCCGAGACAGGGTTAATAGAATAGAAAAAAAGGTCATTTGTGTTAGGCGAGAGGCTGGTAACTAGTGCTCAGTGGACAGAGCCTACGTGACTGGCAGGTCAAATGAAATCATCCGAAAAGTTGGGGAAGAAAGGAATAAGAAGGAAAAACTGGCTTCCTTAAGCTGAGGTGGATGGAGTAGATCAGTCACTGTAACGAAGAACAGCTAGACTGGTAGAATGAATGAGAATGAATGAGGTAATCATTCCACTGTAACAAAAACCCTTTTGGTGTCTAGGTGCCGTCACTCGAAGGAAGCACGAGGGCTGGGATACTGCCAAGTTGCCCACACCTAGACAGAAGTCGAGATGCAGAAGCTGGTCGACAGATACCGTTCCGACGAATAGAACCCGCGTCCAGCCTTAGAGATTATAGTTGGCTATCAAAAAGTTAGAGGCAGAAACCCGAACAAAATTCCGAGCAATGTGGAATGCATCACTTAGGAGCGCCACTGACAGTGTGAATGAACTATGTCCACCAGTATCATTAACCAATGCTAAGTTGAGTCCCGGGGTCCCCATCCAAGGATGCATCAGATATCAGCCCAATTGACATCAATAACATGGGCTGACGCCGACGAAACCGAGTACATTTGGTCGAGCTGGAGGCCGTGGGCCTAAGGTCCTAATAAACTAAGAGCATAAGTTCTTAAGCTCTCTTCTATTCGTCCCCTAACCAGTATTCATCATACTGTTTTTTCAGTGGGTTCCCAGCAATATCAGCTTGATGAACTGAACTGCTCTGATTCAATATGTGTATAATTCTGATGGAAAGCGGCGTGATAACCGAGTTCGCGCATTCACATGATCGAAGTGAGGTTGCGTAACCCGGAAGAAAAGCTAATGTTTAACTGAGGTTCTCCGTTGGTAACTACGGCCACACAATCCAACTGAGTCCACAGCTAGCCTGTGGTTGGTGGAATTCATGTGAATCGATGTGAGCGCCTGAGTTCAAAGTTCCTGGCGACCAGGAACAGATGGGGTTCGGCAAATAACTGGAGGCGTTCGCCATTGGCCGTAGGGTTAAAATCGATTACGAATCCACCACTCTTCCGGGCTTAGTCGTCCACGCCAGAGTAAAATCCACGCAAGCTTTGAAGACGAGTCTTCTTCCGCAGATATCCAACCGAAGAAGTAACGAAACTTGGTAACTCACCTGCTGCATCACCTCCGGGGCCATCCAGCACGGAGTACCAACAAACGTGAAGCGTCTCAGGTCCACGCTGTCTGTGGCAGTCAACGGCTGAGTGGCCAGAAATCCGGCAACACCGAAGTCGGCTATCTGAATCACCCCGTCGTCTTTGACCAGCAAATTACCACATTTCAGATCCCTGTTAAAAAAACGTACAATCAGATGTTGAGAAGATACTAGTATATCCAAATGAAATAAAATCACAGTAATGGGAGTGTCCGGCAACGTGCACCAGGAAGAATGAAGTCAAAGTACTATGGACGACTGATGCGATAGGTGACACATCCTGGCACCCAAGTGTAAGCGTGCCGACAAGTAGCGTAGTGCTTCCCAAGGTGTTTACCTGTTATATAGTATACACCAACTTGCCTTCCTAACTTCTGAAACCCACGGCGCCAGTGTGATCGTACATTATTCGTTAAATTCAGATCGTTCGGCTGCAACACCCTTTCGGTGCCTAGCTGTCATGCCACCCGAAGAAACCACAAGAGCTGGGATGTTACCAGGTTGCCCTAGCTTGAACAGGAGAAGTTGGGATGCAGAGGCCAGGTGTGAACCACAGTAAATTTGCGTTCTAACCACTGAGCAACCCTAGCCCTGTAAAATTCAGATAATGTGACAATAAGATTCATATGCTTGGTGAAGCATATAAGTGGGCTCTGTGCATAAAAGGCATGCAAACTTTCAATGTTCGACCGCCGGTGGCTCCAAGGCACCATCCGGGTCTGGTGGAAACAACGGATCGGAAATAGTAAGAGAACTTACACCTCGCCTACGATAGACGACCCTGATACACTTCATAATTTATGCTGGTTGGGTGCTGTACTTGCCAGCTAGGGAACCGTTCGCATCAGTCTTTGTTCAGCCATGTGCTGAAATGAAACGTATCAAAGTGAGTCAGACGACCTGATAACTGAGCAAGAAGAGCTCAACTGGCAAAAATTCATCCGCCTTGGTAGCTATCACACATACACACGCATGGTCCAACGCGACAAATATCCAGTAAAAGCATCCACACCAAGAATCAATATACTAGGCGACGCAATACTCATAAGGTTGCTGAAAACTCCTCGATAGCAACCTTATGAGTAGTGCATTACAAAGATATATATGTATCACGATATCTCGAATATCGTAGCGACTGAAACATGAGGCGGCCTGGTGCAGCACATTTAGCTGACTGGAAACATCGAAACCGAGAGATTCAGCTAGGTTCCAGGTGAGTCTCTCGAAAAACCAAATAAGTTTGCAGATGAGTGTATTTCGCTATATTACTAGGCATTTTCGTCGTGTGGGTAAAGCGTTGTGACAAAAGGGTACACACTGAGTGGTGCGAGTCATCATCTGTAGTCATTGAATGCCCTCGGCAATATTCACCCATAATTAGCGTAAGACGAACCACGACAGCTAGAGTCGAAAGTACATTGATAGATGGTTTCAAATTGAAGTGACACATTCTAATACACGACAGTATCGTTGGAATGGAAATACCGTTACTCCCTGGTGTTTATGACTTGGATGTCGTTCTCAAAACACAAACTACTTATGAATGGATGGATGGATGGTAGGCATTCTGAATGTAAGGTTACATTGGCTATGGACAATATCTAGTTGCCAGTTAAGACTACCATGATCTTCAGAAGCAGCATCAAAAAATACTGGCGCTTCCGGTGCGAATCGAAAGCAATCGTTGGTGCGTCTTGAAGTAAGATATGGTAGGTTGGAACCGACAGTTATGATACAGTCCAACTGAGACAGACGTGAAGTGGAAGGGCATGCATTCACTGAACCCTGATTCCGCTGCATTGAGCTATCTCCTACAAAAAATCGGTTCTATGGAGGCCATTAGCACTGAGTAATCAGCTACGTTTCGGAAACGGTTAACTCCATGAACCGGGGAAACGCCACATCGCCTCGAAGAAATCGGCGTTTATAAGGGAAACAAAATACGCAAAGATTTGAACCAAAAAGTTTACACACTTACCGATGCACCAACCCGTTCTCGTGGATGTAGGCCAAGCCCCGAAGAACGTCTCGCAGAATTGTAGCAATCGTGTTCTCATCGAACACTCCGTAAGAGATATCTCGCTTGCTCTGGGTATACTTGATAACATCCAGTAACGAGCCTATTCAAAATACGCACAAGCAAGCAACCGATGTGAGTAATGAACAACCAGGATAACTATGAGAAATGACGAGAGCTTCTCAAAGTGTTCTAAACCAGACACAACTAAGGGAATGATCAAGATTGCCAATAGCACTGGAGCACCACATCGGCGTCAAACGAGTGTTAATTCTAGCCGCTACAGCAGAGACAAGAGTGTCAAGTAATGGGGTACCACCAAATATTCGACAGGATAATTTAGTTATGCGTATGTTAGGTGCCCCAGCAGTGTTGAAAACTGTATCACAAAAGGCGTTTCCTTGTATTCATTGTTTTTTCTGGCCAAACCGGTATTAGTGCTTGGGCTGCGAACATCCACCATCCGTCCCATAGATTTTCTTAAAACCGGCAGTAGTACAGTCATCTTAAACGACCCCAGTGTACCACTAGTCCAGGACTTCATTTTTAATCGCTTGGACACAGTGAATTAGAGTAATTATAACTGCTCCGAGCAAGTCATACTTCAGCCTCCAAAAAACCAGTGACTTGTTGCTCACAAACAACTCGTATTTTTTTCTTGACAGAACATACTACTCACGATCTTACCGAAAACTCTTAAATAGCCCACGATCAGCTTCATCCTTGTTGGATCTCACCAGGTAGGCGTAGACCCCAGTTTCCAGGGGCTCTGTGCTTTGCATGAACATCAAATAGTGCACAATGGGCGAAATATACACACTTATAAATTAAGCATGAGTTGACATAATGCTTAGCTGAATTCCAGTCAAGTTTCTAGCTGACTCTTTGCTGAATATTCTGCATAAGGCAGGCAAATGTTTCAGTTGATACGATTTTCGAGATATCGCGGCACATTTTCCTGAAAGAATACATCACTCAGTTGAGTCTCCGTTTAACACTAACTTTATTTGTAAATGAGTACGTTTCACCCAATGCGTACAATTTGACGTTCAAATAGAACAAAAAATTGGTACCGACCTACGACTGATCAAGCCTCTGAAAACATGAATGACACCATGTATTGTTATTCCTCGATAGTTCACGATATTCGTGGTTTCAATTGTAACGTCAACTTGTTTCATCGGCCCATCGTGCATCAGAACCACGATTTACCGCCAGTTCCAGTCATAACCGGTTCCCAAACTGCTTGGCGCCCTCTGGTTTGGAAGTACGCCCATTCCTCCCTGTCTTTCTCGCATCCCCCAATTCCTGGCTCTTGCACATCAGATTTCCAGCTCGCGCACAGCATGGCCCGGCGCAACTAACATTTCCGACTGCGGCATGATGATGATGAGCACTCAGTTGTACCACATTGTCCGACCACAAACTACTCACCAAAACGAGCGAACTGCTTAGCGGACCTGTATAAGCAGTAGACGTGTAGACCAGTATTCCTATACCGCGTTAGACCCAGAACACCAACACAGAAAATAAAGTGAATTCGCCTGACCTAAAGCCGAACCAGTAATATTGACCTGATTGTGATCAGTGCTCTTATCATCGTTTCTTCCAACAGCCTCCAAACTTCTCAGTATGAGCACTCGTATTCTGGCAAATTAGTCCGGCCTGAGCACTACTGGCTCCCTTCGAAATGATTCCAAGGGACCTGTTGGAAAGTTCTGTCCAATGTCTTCTCGTGAGAGACAAGGGTGTTCCCACTCAAGGGCGAAAGTGGATGCTGTGTTATTTAAATGGACCAATAGACTCTTCACAGGGTTGGTTAAAACCTGATTTTAACCGAAGAGCGGATATGATGCCCTTCGGACGTTTCGTTGATGGTGTGCTGGGCATTAGGAATGGCTGACCGTCAATCGAGTTGGCTATGAACTGAAATTCTATCACCAGTTTGCGGGTCACATCTCCAATTATGGAATTCGATATTGGCCATATCCTTCAGTCTGGGTAGCCACGAAACATTACGTTGTACCCTTCCGGTGAGTAGCTGATGTGCAATTCAAACGAAGCATGAAAGCCGAGATCCTACCAGATGTCCAAGGCTATACAGGATCGATGGAAAGGAGAGTTGCGTTCAAACCAAAGGTATTCCACTGAGCCACCTCAAGCTCAAGCGTCACGTCCTCTAATAAACATTACAGTACAAATAATGGTGTGTTCAGAGGTACAAACGATCGCACAGACTTTAAACCAGTTTCTTCGCCAGGCCAACCATCCAAATTCTGCACTTATTTCAAAGGAGTGGCCCTGCAACTCGATGGTCCTATACACAATTGGGATAGGAGTATGAAGGCAATGTGGCGCTTCTCTCAGGCGACCAGCATGTCCACGGTTATGGAAGCAGGAATACAGCCTTCCCCCGACAAAGGATGAGTTGGAAAAAGTAAGCCCTGATAACCACTCAATCCGATCACCCAGAGTTTGACCGTATTGACCGGTTAGTCGCATTACAGACAAAGTTCAGCATCATCGACAACACGACATCAGTGTTTTGCACTGGCGCTTCGCTGCCGTAAACCCATTGACTTGAAAGCCTTACTGTGAAGAAAATAATGAGTGGGCGGGGAAGTGACTTAGTGCTAACCTACCACAATCACTTCGAAGTGCCTATACCTACAGACACGCAATTAGTCAATCTGGGTAGAAATTGAGAACAACTGCGCCACTGACATCGATTAACAACCATATCTTGCAGCGTATCCAATCAAACACAGTTGGGATCACGTGTTGACAATCTTGGAAGACGGGTAGCACCAACTGCACCCAGGTTTTTCGTGATCCTATTCATACCCCTCTGCCAGGTCACACGCTGACCACCTCTGTTTCCACCACTCCGAATCGGACATGTACATTACGCGGCTTAGCCAACTCAGCTTTTAGTACTGGACAGATCAGCTTCATCCTTGTTGGATCTCACCAGGTAGGCGTAGACCCCAGTTTCCAGGGGCTCTGTGCTTTGCATGAACATCAAATAGTGCACAATGGGCGAAATATACACACTTATAAATTAAGCATGAGTTGACATAATGCTTAGCTGAATTCCAGTCAAGTTTCTAGCTGACTCTTTGCTGAATATTCTGCATAAGGCAGGCAAATGTTTCAGTTGATACGATTTTCGAGATATCGCGGCACATTTTCCTGAAAGAATACATCACTCAGTTGGGTCTCCGTTTAACACTAACTTTATTTGTAAATGAGTACGTTTCACCCAATGCGTACAATTTGACGTTCAAATAGAACACAAAATTGGTACCGACCTACGACTGATCAAGCCTCTGAAAACATGAATGACACCATGTATTGTTATTCCTCGATAGTTCACGATATTCGTGGTTTCAATTGTAACGTCAACTTGTTTCATCGGCCCATCGTGCATCAGAACCACGATTTACCGCCAGTTCCAGTCATAACCGGTTCCCAAACTGCTTGGTGCCCTCTGGTTTGGAAGTACGCCCATTCCTCCCTGTCTTTCTCGCATCCCCCAATTCCTGGCTCTTGCACATCAGATTTCCAGCTCGCGCACAGCATGGCCCGGCGCAACTAACATTTCCGACTGCGGCATGATGATGATGAGCACTCAGTTGTACCACATTGTCCGACCACAAACTACTCACCAAAACGAGCGAACTGCTTAGCGGACCTGTATAAGCAGTAGACGTGTAGACCAGTATTCCTATACCGCGTTAGACCCAGAACACCAACACAGAAAATAAAGTGAATTCGCCTGACCTAAAGCCGAACCAGTAATATTGACCTGATTGTGATCAGTGCTCTTATCATCGTTTCTTCCAACAGCCTCCAAACTTCTCAGTATGAGCACTCGTATTCTGGCAAATTAGTCCGGCCTGAGCACTACTGGCTCCCTTCGAAATGATTCCAAGGGACCTGTTGGAAAGTTCTGTCCAATGTCTTCTCGTGAGAGACAAGGGTGTTCCCACTCAAGGGCGAAAGTGGATGCTGTGTTATTTAAATGGACCAATAGACTCTTCACAGGGTTGGTTAAAACCTGATTTTAACCGAAGAGCGGATATGATGCCCTTCGGACGTTTCGTTGATGGTGTGCTGGGCATTAGGAATGGCTGACCGTCAATCGAGTTGGCTATGAACTGAAATTCTATCACCAGTTTGCGGGTCACATCTCCAATTATGGAATTCGATATTGGCCATATCCTTCAGTCTGGGTAGCCACGAAACATTACGTTGTACCCTTCCGGTGAGTAGCTGATGTGCAATTCAAACGAAGCATGAAAGCCGAGATCCTACCAGATGTCCAAGGCTATACAGGATCGATGGAAAGGAGAGTTGCGTTCAAACCAAAGGTATTCCACTGAGCCACCTCAAGCTCAAGCGTCACGTCCTCTAATAAACATTACAGTACAAATAATGGTGTGTTCAGAGGTACAAACGATCGCACAGACTTTAAACCAGTTTCTTCGCCAGGCCAACCATCCAAATTCTGCACTTATTTCAAAGGAGTGGCCCTGCAACTCGATGGTCCTATACACAATTGGGATAGGAGTATGAAGGCAATGTGGCGCTTCTCTCAGGCGACCAGCATGTCCACGTTTATGGAAGCAGAAATGCAGCCTTCCCCCGACAAAGGATGAGTTGGAAAAAGTAAGCCCTGATAACCACTCAATCCGATCACCCAGAGTTTGACCGTATTGACCGGTTAGTCGCATTACAGACAAAGTTCAGCATCATCGACAACACGACATCAGTGTTTTGCACTGGCGCTTCGCTGCCGTAAACCCATTGACTTGAAAGCCTTACTGTGAAGAAAATAATGAGTGGGCGGGGAAGTGACTTAGTGCTAACCTACCACAATCACTTCGAAGTGCCTATACCTACAGACACGCAATTAGTCAATCTGGGTAGAAATTGAGAACAACTGCGCCACTGACATCGATTAACAACCATATCTTGCAGCGTATCCAATCAAACACAGTTGGGATCACGTTTTGACAATCTTGGAAGACGGGTAGCACCAACTGCACCCAGGTTTTTCGTGATCCTATTCATACCCCTCTGCCAGGTCACACCTGACCACCTTCTCTGTTTCCACCACTCCGAATCGGACATGTACATTACGCGGCTTAGCCAACTCAGCTTTTAGTACTGGACAGTTTCTTCGATGGAAGTCCCCGTTGCACAATCGAACGTTCGCCGAACCACACGAGCTATAGTTCTCAGACGACCACTGTCGAACACCTGAAGACGTCTCAGTTCTGTCTTCCGAACAGGATGTCTCAGTTATAGAACGGAACAGCGTGCACTGTAGCCCTATTCAGGGATACATACACTGCCTTGACACCAAAGGCGTCTCAAATTAGCAAACGCAATCCGAGCCTTGCAGATTCGTGTATTGATCTCATCTGTCACATGACAATCAGAGCAATACAATGTCCACGATATGTAAACCGCTCCACAAATTCGAGAGCCTCTCCCTGGATTGTAATCGGGGTGTTCAGTGATTGCATGTCCAGGAGCATGCTTTTACACTGTGGGTACAAAGTTCATGCTAAAAGATAGGATGACAATGGTCAGTTCGTACAAAAACACCTGCGCCTTCTCTTCGAAGAGGACGATGTCGTCGGCATACTCCAGATGGACAAGGTTTTCGTCAGCGGCTTTTTGAACACAAGTTTTGAACATATTCCAACGCTCGTCTTAGTAATCTCGTCGATCACGGAATTAAACGGGGAAGGAGAGAGTGGGCACCCCTGACGGATACTGCTCTGTGTAAGCAAGCCCCTCTTTCGAAAATGGACACTATCACTGAATCTCCCCAGTTGTCTGCGAGTCTTCTTTTCCGAAATTCAGGCAAACAGATCAGACAAGCGCTGACTGAGGACCCAACCATCATCTCTGAACTGTGCTGGTCGGAGGTCATTCGGAGCAGGAGCTCGGAAGCTCTTGAGAGAACACATGCAGTCATAAACCCCCGAGGCCGGAGGGAGTTCCAGGTTCACCGCCCAGGGTTCTACGTCAGCTGTAGGATCCAAATGATTGGCAGCTGGTGGCCACGATAACCGTTGTTCGGAGTATTCAGCCTAGCGGTCAGGGAGTTCCTTGTTCAATATGGGCGCGCTACTCTGACCCTTGTTGGTTTCGCTCACAGGATCGGCCTCACCGACCAACTAAACTAATCTCCGGATAAAGCCGATTTTATGGGCCACTTCCATTTTCTTTAGCCTTCAAAGTCTACTGGGTTTCACAGGCGACGCGCACGCTGACAGCTGCCAGGCTGATGTCCTGGTCGTTTTCACATAGCGTCGGTGTAACCCTTTTGAAGACAGGAATAACTGGTGACATGCCCCATTCTGCAGACAGCTTATCTTCACTCCATATCTCTGTCACTAAGGATTCTCGACCTTTTTTGAAGGCAGGATGTAGAGTGGTCGATTGGTCCCAGGAAAGCAAAGGTCGGTGAAACAAAAGATTAGTGAAGGCGGTTGGTTAATTCAGCAAAAATGCCGAATGGAAGAATGGGTCAAACACTTTGAAGAACAGTTTATCTGGCCTTCTGCAACACAGCCTCTGGAAGTAGCTCTTGCGGTCGAATAGAAAGTAAAGTCTGATCGCAATAAATGAAATGCGAACTATTCGTAGTGAAACGCGAGAAGGAGCCATTACCAACGGCCTGCATCCTGCCCTCAAAGGCGGAGCCAAATGTGAATGTGAGCCAAATGTCGAAGTTCAGTGGTGCGATATGGAGTGAAGAGGTGGCTGCAGAATATAGGATGTCGAGTTATTCTTCAAAAGGAGTACGCCGACCCTGTGTGAAAACGACCGTGACACCAGCCTGGTAGCTGTGGCATCGAAGGTGTACTCTGGCCTTAAGCTTCGAAGGGTGACTGAACACAGGGATAGACAGATTCGTGAAAACCAAGCTGGATTCCGCCCTGCAAGAGGATGCACGGATCACATTTCCACCCTCCGGCAGATTCTGGAACAGCGACAGTTTGAAGCAACCAACAGTGGCTGTCTCCCATGACTTGAAAGCTGCGTTTGACTCTGCGGACCGTCAGGCACTATGGTAGTGTCTATGGGCCAAAAGTATGCCCATAAATTCCTGACCACCCTTAACGCGCTGTACTTCAGCTCCCGCGAACGCGTTAACGTCTACGGTAAGCTCGCATCAGATGGTCCGGCAACTGTCCTTTTTCAGCTTCATCATTGGTAAGATTGTGGAAGATTCAAACCTCTAATGCCTGTGGGGTGGAAGGGCTCCTCGGGGGCATTCGCTTAGATATGGATTGCGCAGAAGACTTAGCCCTTAGTGGTTTTGGTGTCGTTGTAACATAGACAATACTAATTGTCCAGCTTCGCAGCCGTATCAGTCCCGGTGATCTCGTGAAACATGATACTTTCATCCGGATTTAGGGGTGAGATAGCTCAAGTGGTTTGAACGCGAATTTACTGACCGGAAGGTCTATGTTTCGAACCCGACTTCTGCCTCTCGACTTCTCCTGTCTAGGCTTGGGCAACCTGGAATTATCCTAGCCCTCGTGCTTCCTTCGGGTAGCATGGCAGCTGGGTACTGGAAGTGTTACAGCTGAACGACTTATTTGTTTATTTACACTGACTAACAATCTCATCCTAGCATGACCATACTTGTGCAAGCTGTGGTGCTATCTTCATCCAAGGAATCTGGTTGGAAATCCCGGTCTTATAAGTTACACGTTTTGATAGCCTAACGGCCGTCAGTGACCGACAGGGCACTGTCTAATCTAGTCAAAATGCGTTTAGAACTGAAGAAAACGATACTGCTAGAAGAACACCTACCATGCGCAGTCGTATGAAGACCAATACATTTACGCCTTACTCCCCTCAGACCGGGCTAGGCCAGTCTCCCACAATCAAGTGGGCGAGACTGTTGCGTTGTTGAGTACGGTTCCTATCCAGAAAAATCAGCTCAAAAGCCATTCATTGTTTGTCGGATGATTCGACGCACGTTCCGAACGCAGCCTACATTGGTGGCCTTCTGAATGTGCCAACCAAGTTTCCCAATCAGCACTCAAGAAAGGCGTTGTGTCCATAGAGCTGCTACAAAGATGGTTCATCATCATCATTATCAACGCAGCATGACACCAGTGCTCAACACCAATGCTTCACTGCCGTACAGCCATGACTTATTTGAAAGCCTTATTGTAAAAAGAATAAAGGTGGATGGGGGAGGGACTTAGTGCTAGCTTAACACAATCATTCCGAGGTGCCTACACCTCCAGACATTCACTCAGGCAATCTGGATAGAAACTGACAACAAGAACGCCACTGACATCGGTTGGCAGCCATATCTTGTAGTGTCTCCAACCAGCCACAGTGAGGATCACGCGGTCCCCATCCTGGAAGGCGAGTAGCACCGACTACAAAGATGGTTGTAGGCCCCAAATTCGAAATGGTTGGAGATTCCTGGTCTCATCTTGTGAGATTATCGTTGCCTCAGAGGACTTGATACCTACACCTCGTGTGACTGATGGATTCGGTTTTACTGATGCACTGTATGGACACGAAAAGCTTCTCAACCCTAGAGCGCGCGCGGCTCAAGTTGATGTCAATCTTTTTTTCGGTTCGAGTAGTTACACTCAAGTTAAATCAAGTTTGGATGCCTTTCAATGGGTTTGCGTACCTTCAGGCTTACCGACCAACGGAAAGACCCTAAGAAGTGGTGCTGCATACTTTATATACACACTTCAGGCGAACCGAATCTGCTCAACAGGAACAATCATGACCAAAGAATCCTTGATCCTGTGTACCAATCGGTCAAACAGCAGTGGGTGACATTAAATTGAAACCACGAGTCAAAACAACGGAAATCCTACACACCCCGTGGCGGAACAACACAAATACCAGTACACTTACCTCTTTGACAAAGATCCATTACGATGCAAAGTTCAGTCTGATCAACGAACGAGGCGTAATAAGCCACAATATTTTCGTTCTTCATATTTTTCATCGACTTAATTTCCCGCTACAAGCGAAGATTCTACGAAAATTTTAGTGCCTCACGTTTATCTCCTCTAATGATGCGGAGGTAGAACATTTTTCTAGGTTGATGATTTTTATTGCACATTTCCTCCCATTAACAGGACAAGAAGCCTCAAAAACAGTTGAAGTCGCACCCTGACCTGAAGCAAACAATCGAAATGAAACGGTATACTATTGATATACCGATTGATTTTCCAAAATCGTATGAACTTTTCGTCATCGGCCATTGAACTGGGGATTCTAAGGAACTGAGGTGTGGGACAACCGAGGTGCTTTCTGACATCACAAAGTGTTCATGGAGATGGGGGGATATGGGACATGAGTGCGGACCTTATCGGATCCGGATGCGGCAAGCTCGCCGCACCAGGAAACTTCCTGAGCTTCAGGTCGAAGCACGTGTGCACTTGTGCCCGCGGTCGACCAACGGTTGACGTGCCACCTCAAGGTTAGTTCAGAATGTGGTTTTACCTCAGCTCATTCTAAGAGGCTTCGAGGAAAGGAAATCTCTTTTCTTCGGATAAGTTCTCGATGTTACGGACTCACCATTTGTGAAGAAGATACTTTATGCTGTGTCCGCTCTTTACGACTGCTGAAAGCCATCTCTAGGACAAAGCAAGAGCGACCGGGGTCAGGCTCACTAGAATACGCAGCACAATTTACCTACTCAGGACACAAGAATGACATAAACCTCTTTGAGCGGCGGCAAAAATGGTTGTCGGCCTTAAATCCGCTGATTATGGAAATAATCCTGCGGTCTTTTGCCTTCCCCCTTGAGTATCGCTGTCTCCAACTGGACGTACCTCTTAGTTAGACTGTTTGAACTAAGTTCGCATGTTATCCACCGTTGACCCAAGAGCGCGGACACGGTCAAGCGATTTTCAAGCTCAAAGCACACACCTTTATTGGGCAACAGTTTTTCTCATTTTGGTTGGTTTGCCTTGTTAACCCTGAATTTAGTTCCAAATTCAAAGCACATGTGGCGCCGTTGTAGTTAAATTCTCGGTCTGGCAAGATTACTATCCGGCGCTGGGAACTTCAGGAGTAGTGCTAGACCTTCTTCGCTTGTAATTTTTAGGTAACCAGAAGCTACTGAATGACAAGGGAAAGCTCAACCTGGAAAGCGTGGAGGAGAGCCTCCATCCGGTGAATCAGTCCGTGAATCCGACACGGTTTAAACAGAATTTATGTCCTGTTTCTTGGGTGGAAAATGCCAAGGATCGTCGTACTACAATCAGCAATTACGTTCCTCCATCCAACTGATTACCAGTCAGTGCTTCGTGTGAAAAGTGTTTTCCATAACAGCCAAGCATCTAGTTCCGTCAGTGAAACGCTAACTCCCGTACTCGGGGCTCGTTATCAAGAGGTAGTCAGAGGTGGGATTTGAAAGCAGCTTGACGAACAACAGATAAAGAGAAATAGAAACGACGAATAAAAAGAAGGCTCCCTAGCGGAATTAAAGCTGAAATGCAGCCCAACAGCCTGGATGCGACAGTTTGCAAACACATTATTCCACTATGGGTTGGACCAGTACGAACCAGTTCCTTTGTTTTGCAATAGCCCATCTAGTTCATTATCATCCATGGTAGAAGCAAGAGGCAAATAAAAAAGTTGCTGACCTCCTGCCTCCCGCTTCCTAACTCTATTCTTTTTTCAATTAGTTTCTCGTTTTTCATTTTTATTTTATTTTTTCTCATCTAAAACAATGCTAAAAATTAAGACGCAACGCAACGCAAGCCGTTGCTTCAATTTGCTACGTTTTAAGCAGTTACGCCGGTTTATCAGAATGCTAGGCCAATAATATTAATGGGCCTGCTTTCTAAATCTGAATAATTACCTGCGTGTGTACCAGAGTTTTGACGCCATTTCATGCTTGCGGAAATTCTATCGCGAATAACTGACAGGAAATTCCTTGAAACAGGAAGGCAACATATCAAGCGATTGATAGCAGAAAGAATCCTACGAATCCCTTAACTTTTGCAATTAATAGAGAAGATTGCCGCTAAATATTATCTTCGTAAGCCCACCCGTTTCGCGCGCAGAAGAAAGGGACAGCAGCCTCGGTAGTGATTTCTATCAATGTTTCGTAAGACATTATTGAACCGACCAACGGCAGTACAGATGGAATCGATACTTAATAGAAACCTAGGCCTTGCAAACACATTTGGGTTTTCCTGCGCTACCTGATGGGTTGAGGCCACCAGAAGACAACGTTTTCAGACTATGATCATCTTCGAAATTTGCCCATGGACCGTCACCTAAGTGACACGTCCGTGCATCGTCAGAATATTGCATGGACTGTTATTTACTTCTCAATTTTCAGCCACAGGTTTCCGTTGGTTTCAATTCTCAGAACATATTAAGATATCCTCCCCTTATCACAGCAACACATCAGGTGCAAGGTCCCGGTATTGCTTGCACAGCCAACGAGAATGACAGTGTAAGAGGCAGGAGCGGGTAATCCCAGATATAAACTAGCTTGGGACTGACCATGGATGCTGGGATCTGTAAAGTCCTGCCAACACGATCGTGAATGCCACAGTGGTGAGATGGCGTTGAAATTTTGAACAGTCTTGTGGTTATTTTAAAGCGAACTACGGTCACCTGGATGACACTTTAGGAAAGCAAGGTTCTCCATCACTGTTAATAGTGCAAGGGCATTGCCCATTAACCCCGGACCACAGTACGGCGATGAGGATATACGTTCTGATAAAGAGTAAAAGGAAAACGGTGGGAGGGCTACGTTGCGCGAAAAACTCCATGTCCTAAGCGAAATCCATGAAGAATAGTGTGCCTGCACCTCCATGCACCGAAGTAAGAATATCTAAGCGTTCCGTCGGATTAAAGCTCTGATTTAGGATTGTCGCACCTTCCCTTGTGGTACTCTCGCCACGTAAGATTTATTCATGGAAGGAGGTTGTAAGAATTACATAGATTTTGGTTTGACTGAGGTTGCCTTAGATTTGTAGCGATCCAGTCACCCATTTACTTGACTGTTCAACTCAGTCGCTCACTGGATCGCGAGGCTTGTCTTTTTTCCCATACGCACAAACACGTCGCATTAAGCTGACTCATCGGACATCGATTGTCTGCACCGCCCAGTCAGCGTAGCAACCACTCATGTGCCGACGCGCCCACGTATACGCCCTGGGACCTACATAAAGGGAAACCGAACCCAGTCAGGACACACAGTGTCGCTCGCGCAGGGAGCAAGGAGTCAGCCAAGCACTCTTAGTCCATGGACAATCATGGAACACGTGTAGCAGCCATACTGCGGAGAAAACACTTTCCCACCGTCCGGACTTTACCAAGGGACTCTCACATATGAAAAGTTCCCTTTTGATTCGTTCCCATTTCACACAGTATTTATTTCTATACGTATCGCAACCATGCTAAAAACTTCTATCAGTGCACACACACCTGATCTGTATTATGGCTACCGTAACCTGTGCACTAATAGATTCATGCTGTCAGTGCACGGTTTTCTTTCATGAACTTTTCACCAAAACCGGCTTGGAGGAAAAATTCACGATCTCCCTTGGGCCGTTGATCGATTTCCACGACCATAAATTTAAGGCTGTCTTGCAGCTGCCTTTTGCCTTTGGCTTCAGCGAAATTTGATTCTAGCAAGGATGTCGGCACATGCTGGTGAACGCTAACGACCAATTTTTACCCCTGTTCTACTGCGATGGCCACTGATGCAAACATTGGGATGGACGAACTAAGCCACCACCTTCAGGCCTTGATTTCGGAGTTCGTGGAATGTAAAATGGGATGGAAAATGCTGAAATCCAAACAAATATTACGGAAAGCCCAATTATCTTCTGTACAATTTGGGAATGTTGGTATTCTTTAAACAACCTCAGCCTATTAGTCTTCCCTCAGACGAACACGAACTTCGGTGCCTGGGTGTGTTGACTCCATTTCGTCATTGATGACTCAAACGGTCAAAAAGTGATTGGGACAACCTCATCTATTTTCGCTGGCTTTAAGAAGAATTTCGGATAGTCCACTGTACACATTAACCTTATCGGATTCGTGCGAATGCGCGGCACGAAGATAATGGATAGGGATAGATCTAAGACGTCCAAACTTGCTAAGGCTGCCTTTGAAACCTAGTCGCAATTCGCACACGCAATAGTATCAGTGTTTAAAAGACTTGAATTATCAAGGTCTTCCACCGCAAGATGCTTGCCGGAATCATGGATTAATGTTGTCGCTGCAGATGGGTGTAGCGACCATGACTGGTACCGATGCATGATTGCTTGGTGTCGTTTGATCACAGGCTCCTAGTAATGGCAGTTGGGTTATGGAGCCGTGGCTTGGCTGGGTCAGTCCAGCACCTAAAACGTATGTTAGCGTCCAGTGCTACCTGAGGTTAGGAGTCTTTATTCAGAATTTCTGGTATTTATTGTCACTAAATTCTGGAAGAACAAAGTTGAATCTATCGGTCTATATCCTTCCCATATTTTACTTCCAATAGCTTCTTGGCGTTGGCTCGGATACGCCTTATGTTTTCATCCTATTTACGTTTAACACGGGGACGAACATACCGGCGATGTTAGCCACATTGCACTTGAAGTCAACTGAAAGTGCTTTGGCACCTGCAAGCTGACCATATCCCAAACAAGCGGCGAATTAATCATCACTATTCTTAGGAGATGTTTTCGGGATCTGCGTTTTCCAGCTTTTCATGACATAATGGCCCTTATCCGTCGGAGAGAGAAGATGCGAGTCACGTACATGTTCGCTGCCACCTAGAAGTCACAAAAAGCGTGCTCCGACTTCGTCCGCACCGGTCGCTTAACAGAGTTCACTGCCATAAAACCATCAAAGAGGCTCCAAATGATGAATGACCTATGTCAATCCAGGTGTTCCCAGGGGGTCAGAATCCAAGAAACCCAGCATGTTCCTATCAGTTATTACGTCGTCAGATCTTGAGATGTTAAGGCACTGGGAAGACAAACTGTTTTCTCAAGACTGTTTGGTTGTCCTTAGATTCACACAATCGTTACTTCAATGTTGTGCACTTGCCCACTCAAGTACCCATTTTTATATCCGTGATGGTGCTGTGAATCGAAATGTCAGTGATCCCAGTATCACTGGAACAAAATGGTCAACAAACCTAGAGGGTCTTTCCTCAGCTCCTTATGCTCGTTGGACTTGGAGGCCGTACACTCTGGTTGCTCGATCCGATCTAATGGCAGCTGGAATATTCAGTAATGCACAAACCGCACTTATGACTGCTCGGATGGTTTTCCAACTTGCAGATCTGGTGGCATGCAC